GGTGTAAACTTGTTGGTTCCGATGGTCTTAGCACCCTTTCCTTTAACTTTAACATCTTTCGTATGTCTAGCCTTGACTGAGTGGCTCCGTACTTTCCCACCCAGTGGCCCACATGCCCTGGTAGCCTTTCCTCCCACTGTTACGAGGTTCCCTGGATTTAATGGCAATCTATCTCCCTCTTTACGTACCCTGTAAAAGTGTTTTCTCCAAGGTGGCCAAGTGTTCGTCACTCCCTACCTGGTTCAGCTTCCCTGGCGGTTCATAGTGTATACTGGTATTCATTATCACTACTCCCCCAGCTATCATGGGGACAGCTTCTCTATCTGGCGTTGCAGGGAATTCAGGTGGAATCCTGCCGCCTATGATGTATCCTACTGGGGATCTGTATAACCCGATTCCTTCCCTAAACGTCCATCGTGTAGACAGGAAGTCATCTATATGATTGGCTCCCACCAGGATACCTACATTTCTGACCGTGTCAGTGGTAATTCCCTGGTCTGCCAGCTTCACGTCAAGGTCTTTCAATCGCTTAGCTGCTGCAGCAAGACCTCTCGCTGTAATTGCCCTGGGTAACGTCTCTGCCACCAAGGCTGTAATGTCTCTGCGGTGTCCACCTAATTTGACTGTGACATCCACCACATCATAAGATCTAGGTCCTTGTGGCTTAGCGCTTCTTTTTGATTATAATAATAATAAGATCTAGGTTGGGCCTGACTTATAGCCCCTCCCATCATACTAACTTTCTTTGTGGCCTTCAACTTTAATTTAGCCACCAACTTCTTTGTTATCAAGGATACTTATCCTCCTGGGTCAAAGAATAATTGGGTTGTTTCGGACCTGTGCCCATTCACAACCTTTGCCATGACTGTAGGTAGGGCAGCACCTCCGTGATTCTCACTCAGATTAGAGACTTCACTCCCACTAATCACGCTGGCTACCATTTCAGGCTTGGACTCGCTTTCTATCTCTACCTGAGAGATATCCCTACTAGCTTGGGGTTCCCTTAAATTATTGGGACATAGTGCAGTATGGTGCTTGCCTTTGCAACAGACTCGACACTCACTGAGCTGGGTGCCACAGTCTCTCGCAAAGTGTTCCCCACAACACTTGAAGCAGAGTCTCAACTCCCTTAGTCTCTGTTGCCTACTGCTCAGTGTTATATACTCCGAGCAACTCGTGCTAGCGTGTTCGCCTTCGCAGAGCACTCATATTCTGGCATGAGTGCCTCTGAAATTCTGCTTAGAGGTTCTTACCTTAGACACTTCTTTACCATAGTACACTCCAACGTTAGTCGTACGAGCTTTAGACTGATCTCTCGAGATCTTTGAGTAACTTTCTGGGTTTTTATGTGGCGATGGTGGTGACTCTTCTCTCACACCTATACTCAAATGAGAAACGAGATCTCCCAACCCTCAACAATTTGTTGTATCGTGAACCTATTCGTCCGATATTTTAAGTGCAACTCATGCACTGTAGTGCCAGCCAGTTTCCTCTGAATCACCTGACTGATGAACCATTCCGACTTACTCCAATCATGTAAATCTTTAAGACTATTTGTCAAACTCATAACTTCGATTCGGAACTTCTCTAGGCTCTGACGGTCATGGCGACAAGCCTCTAGATCCAACAACCGATAAAGTATAGCTACCTTTATCTCCTCAGTGTTGCCAAACGTGTCCTTTAATTGGTCTTTGGCATGTTGGTAATTGGTGTCGGTGGTTTGGTAATGCTGGACCAAGTCCAAGGCTTTACCCTAGAGCTGTGAACGTAAATATTGTAATTTGACGGCATCTGACAAATCGTCTCTGTCATCTATCTGGGCTTTAAACTGATCCCAGAAAGCAATGTACTCTGTTAAGGTTCCGTCGAACGTTGGTAAATTCAACTGGGGCAATCTGGGCAACACATTAACAGGCGTGCTGTTGTTCGTGTTCCTTAAAACATTTGCTCCCCCTGCTGTACTGCCCTTCAAAGTCTTTATTAACTGCCTGCAGAGTCTCATCTCTGCTTTACACTCTGCCCTTCGTTCGTCATAGTCCGTCCGTGCTACTTCGACTGTATATTCAGACTCGCCTGTAGTATAGGCCTCTGTCTCATAAAGGATAAATGATCTCTCAAAGGCCTCCAGTCTTTGCTCCAAAGGTTTCAGGCAACTCTCTAGTTCCTCCCAGTCTACGTCCTGATCTTGCCTGACCATAGGACACTCCTCACATGCTTTGCTCAGGCGTCCCTTATAGGCTCCCATAGACCGCTTTAATTGACTTAGAGCTGGGACAGCTGGTACTACATCTTCACCTACCATAGTTGCGGTTTAGTTAAGATCACGGTACTAATTTGTACTTCAATTAGCCCACCCCACAGCACGAACGGTATTAGGCAAGAATGAACGAGTCTCAAGGCTTCTCAACAAGCTTGACAACTCCCTTTATTATATTGACTCTACTCTGAATCAAAAATGTACACTGTTAGCTCTCAAATCCCAATCGAAATGTGTATCAATGTGAAAGCTTAACCTAGCAATTTCCTGTACAATGTCAGCAAATAATTACAGGACTTAACCTAGTCTCAGGTACAATTCACAAATCCCACATTAAAATGAATCAAAGACAATGAAAATCACACAAAAATGCAGTATACAAATTAAAAAATCACTTAATTCGCACAAGTTAATTCAACAATTCAACTTGTGAAACAGTAAATGAATAATGTATGTAAATAGCTTGGCCTAACAACCCAGGGCAACACGGGTTTAGAACAGGTCGCTCCTGCCTGTCTCAACTACTGGATCACTACGACAAGGTCCTAAATGCACTAGAAGACAAAAAGAATGCAGATGTAATATATACAGACTTTGCAAAAGCCTTCGACAAATGTGACCATGGCGTAATAGCGCACAAAATGCGCGCTAAAGGAATAACAGGAAAAGTCGGTCGATGGATCTATAATTTCCTCACTAACAGAACACAGAGAGTAGTCGTCAACAGAGTAAAGTCCGAGGCAGCTACGGTGAAAAGCTCTGTTCCACAAGGCACAGTACTAGCTCCCATCTTGTTCCTCATCCTCATATCCGACATAGACAAGGATGTCAGCCACAGCACCGTGTCTTCCTTTGCAGATGACACCCGAATCTGCATGACAGTGTCTTCCATTGCAGACACTGCAAGGCTCCAGGCGGACATCAACCAAATCTTTCAGTGGGCTGCAGAAAACAATATGAAGTTCAACGATGAGAAATTTCAATTACTCAGATATGGTAAACATGAGGAAATTAAATCTTCATCAGAGTACAAAACAAATTCTGGCCACAAAATAGAGCGAAACACCAACGTCAAAGACCTGGGAGTGATTATGTCGGAGGATCTCACCTTCAAGGACCATAACATTGTATCAATTGCATCTGCTAGAAAAATGACAGGATGGATAATGAGAACCTTCAAAACTAGGGAGGCCAAGCCCATGATGACACTCTTCAGGTCACTTGTTCTATCTAGGCTGGAATATTGCTGCACTCTAACAGCACCTTTCAAGGCAGGTGAAATTGCCGACCTAGAAAATGTACAGAGAACTTTCACGGCACGCATAACGGAGATAAAACACCTCAATTACTGGGAGCGCTTGAGGTTTCTAAACCTGTATTCCCTGGAACGCAGGAGGGAGAGATACATGATTATATACACCTGGAAAATCCTAGAGGGACTAGTACCGAACTTGCACACGAAAATCACTCACTACGAAAGCAAAAGACTTGGCAGACGATGCACCATCCCCCCAATGAAAAGCAGGGGTGTCACTAGCACGTTAAGAGACCATACAATAAGTGTCAGGGGCCCGAGACTGTTCAACTGCCTCCCAGCACACATAAGGGGGATTACCAACAGACCCCTGGCAGTCTTCAAGCTGGCACTGGACAAGCACCTAAAGTCAGTTCCTGATCAGCCGGGCTGTGGCTCGTACGTTGGTTTGCGTGCAGCCAGCAGCAACAGCCTGGTTGATCAGGCGCTGATCCACCAGGAGGCCTGGTCACAGACCGGGCCGCGGGGGCATTGACCCCCGAAACTCTCTCCAGGTAAACTCCAGGTAACTGCCCAGTTTACTGTCTAGCGTGGATGGTTGGATAAGGTAAATCCTAACCTAACTAGTGTGCTATAACTTAAACCTGGCTTTTAGAACTCCCTGTAAATAATAACTAGGTTAAATCTGTCCTTGCTACTATAACTGTTGTAAATATTGTACAAGCCTAGCCTAACTGTGGCTACCTTGCAAATCCACTGTAAGTAATTAACACACAAGTCTCCTACTCTGGATTACTTGTAATCACTGTAAATAATTAAATTCACAAGGTTCTCTAGCCTACCTGGCCTGCCTGTAAATTACTGCAAATAATAACTTCTGTGTATAGTCAGCTTGGCCTAGCCTCTGTGTAACTCTGGGCCTAGGTGTGCTAACTTAACCTAACTCTTAAACTGGTTCCTAACTTTGGCCTAGCTATGTTAATTTTAACCTAGCTATTCCACATCATGGTTTTTGAAGGACCACTTTTGTGAAAATTTGTCTGGACTGCCTCCAAGTGAGTCACCTACCCTGGCAAACTGTTGACACCGAGCTCTGAGGTCGGTACCTCAGCCTCACAAGTGGCTTATAGGACAGATTTTCACAAATGATTGATGTTGCAAGAAACTCGCCTGCATGCATGTATAAAGGACTAACTTACTTGGTGTTGCAGCAAATATCCTGATCTTCAACCTTCCTAAGCTTAGCCCCTTTGGACTTCCCCTCAGAAACCATGTGCAACTGGGAGCTTTAATTCCTGCAATATTCAATCGTTATTAGTGACCTGCCTGCACCTCAGAAATTCCTATATCCAAGGGGGTGTGTATCCCCTAGTACAACTATGCAGACACAGACACTAGCTTCTAGGTAGACAAGAGACACTGGTACGTACTGGGCATGCACTGCCAGTTGCATACAGGCCTACAGTTCAACTCACATTTTTTTCCCAGACACTGGCCAGAAATCCTAAGAGAAAGTGGAGGTTTTGTCTTACCGTATGGGTCTGACGGAGGTGGTCATCTACAGTACATAGAGGTGCCTCTACCAGATTTCCCCAGGTCTCAAATGTGAAGACACGTGGGGGGCGCCGTCTGCTGATCACGGCAAGTGTTGTCCAGTTGGTGTCTGTCTACAGAAGAACGAGCTGGTCTCTCTTCCAGACCCTCGTCTCTTCGTTTAAACTAGGGCTGCCAGTTCTCCCTAGCTAACTTAACCTAGTGTTTGCCTACATTATCGGCCTATTACTACCTATGTTAAGGTCTTAGGTCCACATTATTATTATCTACAGTTGCCTTAGTAAACCTAATATTAATATACTAACAGTAAAACTACCTACTCCTTCCCTGAAGGGTAAATCTATAAGTTAAATAAGTGCCCACCATCAATCCATGCCAACTCGGGGAGAACGCTTTTTGTTTGGGTGGGTTTAAGGGCCACCGAACGGTGTGTTTTTACCCTGTTGGGACTTTTCGAACCGAATAAGTTCCAACACTAACGGCTCACCTTCAAAGTTTTATTGTATAAAAACCTTTTCTTTTAGTGTATATATATATATCACATTAAATGTTGCTTACTAACATCAGAGGAACTTCGATGATAATAACCACAGTACTATTTATTTTCCGACAGTCTCAACTTGCTGAAGACTTCCAGGAAAGCTTGAACAAAAATGACACAGTCTGCTCTAAAGAAAACGGGAGAGGGAACCAAAACTTTACCTGCACAGTCACTGCTGGTATGGGTGGGGCTAGTCTCACTAACGACCATCGTCATGGTTCCTCTAGCAACAGCCCAATTTGGAACGTTTTCTGACCTCAAGGGTGATTACTGCAGAGGAAGGTAATGTGAAAGGAGTTAGTATGAGTATGTACTCACCAATTTGTGTTAATAAGAATCAATTCTTACTTCAACTACCACCTCTCTCGACGAGGTAGTCACTAGCCATGTTATATACTCCTACTTATTTACTCGTGTTAGTACTATTCTTTAACAGAAAATATCGATCTTCACTTTCATGCATGTATTTTTAACTCATTAACAATATTGTGTGTTATATTTTTCTCGTCTGTGTCATGATTTTCATGGCTTCGGGTAGTATTATTGTAAAATTAGGTTTTACATAGCCTCTGAAGTACAACCATATTCCAACATTTTTTTTAAGTTACTGAAGGAGAGATAAATTTGATTTAGTGGCATTGACTTCTACGTTAACAGTAGTAGGGAACTTTGTATTTTACTGGGAGCTATTCGATAAAAAAAAATTTTGAATCATGGATTCAGCATCATAATTTGTGTTCTTAATATATTAAATCTAATACATAATTTCTGTTTTTTTCTAGGCGTCCTACATCGTGCTGTGATGGGAGATATGATGATTGTTCCATGCCTATCCGCGGGACGTTGTGTTACTGTGATCAGTTCTGCAACAGAACCTACAACCCAGACTGCTGCCCGGATTACTGGGAAATTTGCCTGGGTTTCTCTCCGCCTGCCGAGATTGTTGGTTAGCTCGTTTTTTCTCTCTTCATTTTTTGCATTCATTCCTATTTTTTTCCTATTTCACTTTTTTAGTTAGATTATATTTAGTATTTCGTGAAGGATGTCATTAGACTATTTTAGTCTGAAATGAAAAAAATCACTGTGGAGAAAATAATTTTATTCTTTGTTGGGGATTATTGAAGCTCAGTAACGAATGTGTGGTATTCTTCTGAATTATTTATTAATCTGATAAAAATATTATTTGGCTCAGTACACCTGAAACTGTGTGAAATAATGTTATCTGCATTGTGTTATAAACTGTGGTATGTCACATATTGAAACATTACATAATATGACATGGAAAATATTACTCCAGGTGTCAGTTCACGACATAAGTTATCAGAACCTACATAAGCTATCAGAACCTACAAAGCTATCAAAGCCTCAGCATAGTTGAATATGTATTTACTTCGTCGTATTATTCCGAAATTTGCTCGTGGTGGTTCAAAAACAAAATTCAACAAGGCATGAAATAACTTGAATAGCAGAACTGTCAAAATTTCTAAATAGTTTCACATAGACGAGAGTTGAAGAATAGCGAAGCCGACATGTAGTTTAAAAGACACAGGAAATTAAGAAGCTTTGCAGTTCTATGACAAGGTGACACACACAGTTTAGTTTAATGTGTTTATTATGCACCCCATACACATCCTGTGGGCGGTAGTCAAAAGATTACAGAGGTACATAATGGGTCCAGGGACTGGACTCAAGTTATGATAGCTGAACTAGTTACAAAGGTAATGAACTCCAGGTAGATCTGGTCACAAAGGTAATGAATCATCCTCACTCCTATACATGGTTAATTACAAAGTAATGAGCCAGTGACACGTCCACGCCCGGTCACAATTGCAATGAGTTATATATACAAATATTAAGTGGGTCATACACCCACACGAGCGCGCGCGCGCACACGCGAGGGCGCACGCACAGACACATGCACACGAGCGTACAAACATACACATACACACACACACACGCGCACACATACAAACACACACACACACACACACATACACACACACACACACACACCACGTGGTAATGCTTTATTTACAGCTAGCAAAGTCAGGGTATTTCTCCAGAATGGTCTGTAATATACCACTGTGGATAAAATACTTTGCCATTTCTCGAACATTTCTGAGTGAGTTGTCTCTAAATTCATTAATTTTATCGCACTCCAGTACATAATGACGCAGGGTGTGACAATAGTCCATCTGGCAGTTTACATTTCGTTTGGTCTACATCTGGTGGTGGTGATTTAACCTGCCAAAGATACTTGTAACCCAGTCGGAGCCGGGCGGTAGTGACATCCAAGAGTCTGCTTATTTTGTTGGATGCACCATAGACGTGGCTCCTCCTGCGTGATGGAATGATGATAGATGGACTGACTTTTGTCAATCTCCCTAAGTCGTCAATAAAGTTCAATTGAAGTTCTTTTCGTATAATTGTTCTCAAACTAACTGACAATCCAAGATTGTCATCTACTCCCTCTTTGAAACTATACAGCTTAGCCAATTCATCAGTTCTATCATGCATCTGAAGACCAATGTGAGATGGAATCCACAGCATGTGCACTCTGGCTCCACTGTCCACAATCTTACCATACCTGTGTCTGGCTTCTGACACAAGCATGCAACAATTTATACTTAATGAGTTGAGAGCGTTTACGGATGACAGAGAATCAGTTACAATTAAAGTATCAACCTTAGACACATGGACGCATTTGAGTGCAAGGAATATGGCAAACAGTTCTGTTTGAAGGGTAGAGGCCCAGTTGTTGATGCGTGCTCCAATTTCTTTATGAGAGCCATCACTGTATGACAACAGCAGCATTACCAGCTGCACCAGTGGACAGAACCATCAACGTAAATAATTTGTGAAAGAGTGTTCTGTGTGACTTAAGTTATCAACACACACAGAGGTGAATACACACATTCAAATACATATATATATACACACACACACACATGGCCATTTGAAGAGACTGGGCCAGGAGCTGTGAATCGACCCCCGCAACCACAACTAGGTGAGTCCAACTAGGTGAGGTGAGTACACACACACTCGAAAGCCAAGGAGCCGCGTCTCGAATACTCATTAGTTTCATGCGTGCATGTATACCTGCATGAAACTGATGAGAATAAAAACTGGGCAAGACCAGTGAAGCCTACAAATGGGCCTAGACAAACTGCAAGATTGGTCTGGCTAATACCTTGTAGAATTTAACTGGAGTAAATGCATAATCATGAAAATCGGGGAAAGACAAAGTAAACTGAAAAGAGTACAGGCTTTGGGACCCCCAAGGCTTCAAACGTTACTCAAGGGAAAGCTGAAAGAGGCGATCATCAACCGAATAACCTCTACAGCCAAAGTGAACTTGGCAAATCTCAGATTAGTTTACTGGTTCCTCAAGAATGAATTGTTCACGACACTGTATGATGTGCCTGACCCATCTTGAGCTACATAGTTCTAGTATAAAATCCACACCTTATGAAGCATATTAAAAAAATAAAAAAATGTGCAGAGGTCATCAATGATACTAATCCCTGAGGTAAATTATATAAGCTGTGAGAAGAGGCTAAAGGAGCAAAACCTGACGACATTAGTGGTCGGAAAGACTTAGGGTGATATAACAACGTATGAAGTACTGAGAGAAATTGATAGGGAGAAAAGGGTCAGACTGTTCAAGAGGCTGAAAACAGAAACATGAGGACACAACTTGAAGTTCAAAACTCGGACGAATCATAGGAAGTTTAGGAAATATATCTTTAGCAATAAAGTGAGGAAGTGAAATGAGCTGGACAGTGAAGTGGTGGCGGGAGTGAAGACTGAGACAGTCCCAGAGCCAGTAGAAAAAGGTACACCAAGAGGTGATGAAATGAAAATACTGATAAGTGGCAGGATACAAGAAAGGCAACGGGACTTGACAAGGTATCATCATGGATTCTGAGAAAAGGAACAGAAGCACTGCCTGAACCACTAGCTAAGATATACGTAATGTCACCGGATACTATAAAGCTGGAATTGCGAAAGTAGTACTGAAGTATTAAACATTTCTTGTATCTCATTGCTATATCCAAAGAAATTAAGATTCATATTGGATGAACTCTTTTTAAGACTCACTCTTGCCCTTTAGCAGTGTGTGTGTGTGTGTGTGTGTGTGTGTTTTGATGTATCTGTTTACATCGCATAACGGTATCAACGATCATGAATATATTAGTCATAAAATTTGCATGCTTAACTATTTTTACATTAAATTCCTTATAAAGTCAACATAAATTAACTATTTCATATTAAATCAAATAAATTATAGCTTAAGACTATATATGAAGAATATTTTTGTGGGTTAAGGTTTGACTCGCAAAACAGTGAGTGACCGCGCATCACGTGACCTCCAGCTGACCGGCTGGGGATCCTGATTTTTTAATTTGTATAACTGGAGCTTTAGTCAAGGTGAACATGAACTTTTGCCGGAACAAATATGTTCGTCTTATTCGACTTACAACGACTTATTCTGCCGACCTTCATTTCTGATATAAGTTGTCTTTTAATTTACCTGTCAGTTGGGGACATATAAATAAGCAGAGTTTTTCTTAATGACTGATATTAGAATAAGATTAGTCTGAAATAGTCATATTAATTTTTAATTTTAAAATAAACCTTGATTAACACTGTTATTTTTATTTTCAGTATTATTTCGGTGTCTGTCTATACATATTCATCTATTAGAGTAACTTAATTAGCCTTGGCCTTATGGGGGCTATGTAAGACAAATGCCTAAATAATATTAAAAATCAATATAACAAACTGAATGCAGGTAGGAAAATAAATCCAGTGGGAAGTCGGAAAAGTTGAATATATATGTCCTGGCAAGAGCTCATGTACATCACCCAAGCTCCAGGCATACAATGTTAGGTAAGACACCTATGCAACAGTTAGACAACTTTATTCCGAAACGTTTCGCCTACACAGTAGGCTTCTTCAGTCGAATACAGAAAGTAGGCAGGAACAGTAGAGATGTGAAGACGATGTAATCAGTCCATCACCCTTAAAGTCGTAGAATTTGAGGTTGTCAGTCCCTCGGCCTGGAGAAGTTCAGTTCCATAGTCAGGAACTATCTGAAGATCAAGCGACAGTGCGGAGACTTAAATACTGTCGGAAGGAGAGGTGCAGGGTAGTAATAGTAGTAGTAGTAGTAGTAGTAGTAATAGTAGTGAGAGGCCACTGAGAGGTCATGTCCTTCTCAGATCCAACACTTCTCACTTGAAAAGCTTGTCCAAGGTGTTTTCTGTACCAAGATGCCACGTGTTGCAGTGTCTGACAAGATGAACATCAAAATGGTATACAATACCGACAGGTTGTTAGGTAAGACACCTATGCAACTGTATTCGACTGAAGAAGCCTACTGTGTAGGCGAAACGTTTCGGAATAAAGTTGTCTAACTGTTGCATAGGTGTCTTACCTAACAACCTGTCGGTATTGTATACCATTTTGATGTTCATCTTGTCAGACACTGCAACACGTGGCATCTTGGTACAGAAAACACCTTGGACAAGCTTTTCAAGTGAGAAGTGTTGGATCTGAGAAGGACATGACCTCTCAGTGGCCTCTCACTACTATTACTACTACTACTACTACTACTACTATTACTACCCTGCACCTCTCCTTCCGACAGTATTTAAGTCTCCGCACTGTCGCTTGATCTTCAGATAGTTCCTGACTATGGAACTGAACTTCTCCAGGCCGAGGGACTGACAACCTCAAATTCTACGACTTTAAGGGTGATGGACTGATTACATCGTCTTCACATCTCTACTGTTCCTGCCTACTTTCTGTATTCGACTGAAGAAGCCTACTGTGTAGGCGAAACGTTTCGGAATAAAGTTGTCTAACTGTTGCATAGGTGTCTTACCTAACAACCTGTCGGTATTGTATACCATTTTGATGTTCAGGCATACAATGACTCAAAAATAGGTTACAAAGCATATAGGTCAAGTGATTCTCGGCCATGCCACCCCTGCCATAGGCTTAATCAAATTTAAGTACAGTTACTAACATTTTAGATAATCACAATGGTCGTACATAATAACATGAATAAATTATCTATGATAACCCAAAAAAAAGTCAGACAACGTGACGTTGCCATTGGAAGTCTTGACATACTTCAGTTTTTATTTCCCCCAAAGCACTCTTAGAGCCACTCATATTGAACAATAAAATGGTATAAAATACCGACAGGTTGTTTAGGTAAGACACATATGCAACAGTTAGGTATCTTTATTTCGAAACGTTTCGCCTACACAGTAGGCTTCTTCAGTCGAGTACAGCAAAGTTGAAGAAGCCTACTGTGTAGGCGAAACGTTTCGAAATAAAGATACCTAACTGTTGCATATGTGTCTTACCTAAACAGTCACTCATATTATAACGTACATATAACCTGAAATTAAATGGCTCATTTATGCTAATTGTAAAATACATTCAATATAACCAGCATATTCTCGATTGTTCACACACAGTTATGCGATTCAAACACACGCAACAAACACACACTCTTGCCAAATGGGCTTGTTCAACATATATTTAAAAGCAAAACAAATGGGCCGGGCAGTACAGTTATTAACAATGAGACCTGTACTGTTTCTAGTGTACGGAAAGTACATGCTATAAGAAATACCCTGAAAGAGGAAAAGAAAATGCTGCAATTAGGACTGGATAAGCTGAAGGACTGGTCCGGTAAGAGATTACTGAAATTTATCCCTGGCAAATGCAACATTATGGAAACTGGAGAGGGGTTAAGAAAACAATAAAGTTAGAACAGACTCGGGGGACAAAGGAAGCGAACCTCACTCAAAAACAACGGCCTCAATGTTTGCATATTAATTATCATTTCGCTAGAGGTGAACATCAACCGAATAATCTACGCAACAAATATGCATTTAGAATATATATGATTAGCCTTTATGAATCTTAACAGAGTGCCGTCCACGATAGCATATGTGACAGGTGTCATGCCCATCTTGGGGTATGCAGAACCAGTATGGAATCCACTCAATCAAGCTTGTCAGTAAACTGGAAACTGCAGAAGTGACATTGATACTGATATTGAATACGAAGACCATTTTGATGACTTATGATGATGGTAATTCATAGTTAATACAGATGTGTATTTAGCTATGTTTAAAAAAAATCAACTAGTTGTTGATTTCTTTGATTATTTTTTAACCTATATTTAAAAGGTCATAATGCTTCCTAGAAACCCGCTTTCTCATGCATCATGAGGCGCAGTGCCAAAAACATTCAAACATTAGCCTCAACTGACGGGACTTAAGAGACGTTTTTACTCTGCTGATATTTTTATCTCCTTGGCAGCCATGAACGTCAGAGGCAACCAGTCTCTCAGATCATAAAATATTCCGACAGGGGATCCTATTAGCACTATTTAGTAACAGTTTTGGTATTGTGGAAGTATCGTGATCTTGGTGAGTTATCAGTCCTAAGATTTGGTACAGTATACGTATAAAGGGGAGACTCTAGCCGGTAACGCTGTTGGGAAAAGGGCGAAGGTGGAAGCGCCCTGATTACAATGGAGAGCTTTTGAACCAAGGGATTGGAGCTAACTCGCCTTTTTCTTAGATTAAACATGATTGTCCTCCATTTCCCATACGCTGCATGACCCTTGCAAGGTTTTCAACCCTATGAATACAACATATTGGATGAGATTTATTAGCGACAAGTATGATGTTTCCATCCGTGAAAGCTTAACGAAGTTTTGATTTGATGAATATCTAAAATGAATGAAAGTGTTATAATGTATGAATGCTTTCGACCATATGACTATGTACAATGGATATAATTACATATAGAAATCAGAGTACAAGACCGTACTAGCTTGCATCTATATATATAAATATATTGTTAATTGACTTTCTTGCCAGAGTTGTGCTGACATTACAGATAAAAAACTGCAACATATCATCACCCTTCTTCAGAGTGCAGGCACTCTGAAGGAGGGGTGGAGACATTGTACTTATCACCTCCAGGACTCAAGTTCGGCGGCTAACCAGTTTCTCTGAATCCTTTCATAAATTTTACTCTGCTCAAACTCCAACAGCACGTCCACTCATAAAAACCATTTGCCTCCACTTATTCCAAGCTCGTGCATGGAGGCGACACATTAAGTTGGATAGGTGAATGAGTGGGTATGTATAGGAACTGCCCAGCTTGTCATGAATATTTGTAAAATAATTACATGCTTCTGCTATACGATATTATGTTCTTATGTCTCTTATTACTCTGATAGTAAGGTTCTCACTACAGGTCCTAGTGTGGGGTAGCTTTTTACTTAATGGCCTAATCTGTCTAGGGTAATACATCATGACTGGGTCATCCTCCCTCTCTGAAATCCTTTCACCAGCCCTCTTTACAGGTTATTTAAACCACCTCTATAAAAAAAACATAACTGTATTCTAAATAGATATGTACAGAATATACAATTACAGCACTCGCATATTCAAAACATAAGCCTGCACACCCCTTAGCTGTTCTCCTAGGACAGTCCACATGGTGCATCTCAACAATTTGCCCTTCTCTCTTCTTGATTAAACTCTGGGCTAACCAGTGTTTTGACACACTTTAGTCACCCTGGGTATGGTGGCCACAACTTAAGCTATAAAAAACTCACTCCTGGAGTACACATAATGCCCAAAAAGATAGAAAGAAAGACCCAGAGGTCCTACCAGCTTCAAGTCCACCCAGAGAGAGAGGGAGAAGGAGGAGCCTAGCTAAGCTCCTCCCACACCCACCAAAAAACAAAAGACTGTTGCCAAGCACAATTCTCTAGTTACCACAATTCTACCACACCTTATTTTACTGTTACAAAAAGAAATACAACTTTATAAACTACTTATTTAAATTGTGTGTGTGTGTCTATAGTATAACCTATTATATTGAGAAAAACAGGCTTGACTCGGCTGCCTTACAGCCATGAGAGTGATCTGCCCTTATGACATTTAGAACTGAGTCCCCATCAATTCAATATAATTAGGTATTCCAGAGTAACTGTTACAGATACATAAATACATGTTGGGTCCTATAGCCCCATAACAAATATAAAGAATTAAGTGTATCTACAAGTTATTAAAGATCCTTAGAGAGGTAATTAAAAAATTATGAATTCCAGAAGACTTGTCTAAAAAAGTAAGCGAACAGTGAAAAAAAGACGGGTCTCGGTAGTTTCTTTTATGGTCCTTCCTCTTTTGTGTTTGTTTCTGAGAGAGAATAAATTCTCGCAGCAATAAATGTTTATCAAGATCCATAATTGTATCGAGGAGGGGAGCATTTTGTTGCTATTGTTATGGTCAAGCTACCAAATCATGGGATTCTTTGGCTTAGTCATTAAATGATTTGTGAGGCTTTATTGGTGAAGTAGCTCAGATATTTATATCCTAAGATATCGCCCCATCTTGCCAAATATAGTGTATTTTGGCAAATGAGGATTTCTTGTTACTTTGTTTTGGCTGATAACAGGATCCCGTTTATAAAGTAAGTTTGTATATATTTTTTTCTTTTTCCATTCTTATTGTAAGCTGAAAATTTCTTTTTGTTTCAGTTCTGTTTTAGGTAAGAGATAAGACAATTTGATTATCTTATTTCTGTTAAACGTGAATAATTGTTTTTTCAAATACATTCAGAGAAGTTAATTACCACAGGATGCTACAAGGCCGGGCTCTACATCCCCAGCGGCCACAGCTACAAATTTAACTGTAACGAATGGTGAGTTTTATCTTTGTTTCGCTCGTCTCTTAGCTAGTAGTGGTGACATTATATTTTTTTTAGGCAACTGGACAAGTGTTTCCTAGCACTGGTCTTAGCCAGGTAACGCGTCATTCAATTATTATTATAAGAATTTTTAATAATATACAATAGTATTTTTAATAATTTCTAACTTAGCCTTTGCATCGTCGTTAAGTACAATAGGCACAGTTCTTAATTTATTATAACAATAGAATAATATACTTTTCCCGCTGTATACCTGGAGAGGGTTCCGGGGGTCAACGCCCCCGTGGCCCGGTCAGTGACCAGGCCTCATGGTGGATCAGGGCCTGATCAACCAGGCTGTTACTGTTGGCCGCACGCACGCTGTTTTTGTAAAATACGACCAGAACTATATTTTCTTCACGAATAGCCCACACTTTCGGTCCTTCTTGAACCATTATGATGTTACAGCTGATAATAATCCAAGAGAGTCGGGAATGTCTTCTTAATCTTCCTCTTCAAACTGTGTAATATTTTCAAACTGATTCCGCTACGGAATCATGACTTTTATTCTTTATTTGTTAAAAGTGGTTCATAAAAGACTCTTTCATCTAAATGTTTTTTTTTAAATTTTTGATAGGTTTTAAAATTATTTTATTTAAAATGAAATGGACTAAATCAGTCGTGTGGCTTTAGATTTCTGCTTACCATGACTCCCAAGTCTTGTTTACTTTCTGTATGATCCAGCTGTACTTCACCTAGTTATAACTATGAAGGTTGCTATCGTTCCCAAGAAACAGAACCTTACACTTGTTCACATAAACAGCAGCTGCCACTTTTCAGACCATGACATTAATTTGTCCAAATCCTCCTGAAGTTCAATAGTATCCTCCTCAGACTATATTATTCGTCTTATTTTTGTCATCAGTGAATGTACTCATGTCACTTGTAATTCCTTCGTCAAGGTCCTTAATGTAAATTATGAACAACAATGGGCCTAAAATTGATCCGTATGGAACGCCACTTCTGACCGGTCCCCATTCAGACTTCACCCCATTAATGCAAAGTGCCTGCTTTCCATTGGTCATCCATGCCTCGATCTTTGTTAGAACCTTATGTCTTATACCAGGAGCTGCCACTTTTCTTAGTCTTTTGGGAGGTTCTTTATCGAAGGCCTGAAATCAAAATAGCAACATTTTCTTTATCGTTGTCGACTGCCTCAAATGCTTTATTAAAGAATGTCAATAAATTTGTCAGGAAGGAACGACCTCTTATGAACCCGTGCTGAGACTCCTTAATCAAATTATACTCGTTAAGATGGCTTCTAATATTAACTATAATATAACCCTTTTGGATTTATGTTTGATTCAGTAGCTCCTTTAATTTCAGAGTCAAATTTAGCCTTTCTAATCTTCTTTACTTCTCTTAAGATGATCGTATTTGTTAATAAGGTTATCTTCTTCCTCTTTTGATGCTCCTCAAAGTTCCTCTCTTCTCTCCTAATATATAAGCTTCATTCGCCTATTCATCCATTTGACATTTTTATTTGATCTAATTTTTCTCTGGGCAATATATATACTTGAAGCACATTGTACATTATTAAGAAAAAAGTTCCAGTCGTAGATCCTTTCTTTATTGTATGACCATCTGTAAAATAATTTGCTAGATAACACCAGTCGAGACTTGACAGGTGTTTTCCTAAGTCGTCATTATTATTAGAACAAAAGTTGGGGACTATTACTATATTATCCTAATTCTCGTATTCATTGGTAATATTAAAGGTGATCACTTGCACCAAGCTCTTCAGTGATGTCACTTAGTCTAAAGTAAAAATCCCTGACTATTACTACTATAGCGTGTCTAGAAGCCCTAACAACTTCATCTCAAAGAAGTTTCCTTGTATCACTAAGTTTGGGGGTCGGTATATTACACCTAAAATTAACTTTCTTTTCCTTCTAGAAATTCTACCCAAATAGATTCTTTGTCTAATCCGTCGATTTTTATCAGTTTTTATGCAACAATTCATATTTTCTTGGATATATAGCGCTACCCTACCTCCCTTCCTGTTATTTCAACAAAAACATAAACCACGTCTCCGCTCTGCAAATTAAACCATGCCTCAGTTATAACAGTAACATCAACGATTCCTGCACATGCAATCAGACGTAATTCATCTTATTTCTGGCACTTCTACTATTAGTATACAATATTTTAAGATTATTTTTCGTCTTGTCTTTTCCCTGTTCATTTTTTTCTTTTCCAAGATCTGTTTCAATTATCTTTACCCGAAGTTAAGTTACTCCTAAAGTCCAATTATCACAAACAGCTCAAATCACTGGTTCTACACTCCAATTTCCTCCACAAAAGCCCATACCACTGTTTCTAGTTTAAAGCCCTAACAGCTGTCTCCACTGAACTAGCCAAAGTCCTCACACCTGCCCTGGGTAAGTGAATTCTATCCCTGGCATACCTGTCTGTCATTTCTGGCGTAGAAGAAGTCCCAGTTGTCTATAAATGTCATTGCAATGTCCTTACATTGTTTGTCCAGCCAGCAATTAACACCAATTGCCCTTGACAACCATTTATTTCCAGCTTCTCTCTTTGGCAAATTGTCACATGTAACAAGGTGCCCTGCACTCCCTTCCTAATTATGTCTATCGCTGACCTATAACTGTTAATTAAGTCCTCACTCCTACGTCTGACAAATTCGTTGCCTCCCTCACTGAGACAGATAATAAGATTGCTCCCATTACTTTCCATGATGTCAAGACAGCTAACAATATTTTGCATCTCAGCCCCAGGAAAACACAATTTAATCTGCCCCCACCTAAAACAATGGTCATACATTTACTGGCGGTGTTCGTCGTAACGTTTACGATGGTCTTTGTGGGGATGTATTAGATCGTCGATTTACACTCGTCTCTTAACATAGAGAATGAATTGTTGGTTTCCATAACAGTCTCCTGGTCCTTCCTAATCTTCAATTTCTTCCCAGTTGTTCCAGCATTTAAGCACTGTTATCTTGGCTTTAGATTACTGCTAACAAGAACTTAGAACATAACATAAATCTAAACTTACACAGTTTGAACAATATTATTTCGAGTTCTTTCTTGAAGGAATGTCCTCCAACCTTATTTATCTTTCATTTATGCCCATCTTCTGCTTATACACTTTAATCATGTCTGTTCATTCTACGTCTTACAAAAGATACACAAATGCAGTATAATATGGTATAAAGAGACCTACTAGGACAGTAAACCTCGTATATAGGAATGAGTAAGACACATGTGCAGCTGTTGGGAATCTTTATTGTTGAAACGTTTCACTTCTTCAGTCAAAATACAAAGAATGAATTGTAGGTAGCAGAAGTGACGAGGCAAAGATGATGTAATCAGTCCATCAAGCTTGAAGAAATAGTTTGAGGTGATCAGTCTCTCAGCCTGGAGAAAAGTTCTTCTCCATGGTCTGGAACATAGTGACAATTATTTACTTATTAATCCCATTTGTTAACCGTCACATTTCATCGTTGCCTTCAAAGTCCAGCAGCAAAGTTAGGCAGCATAACCACAGTATAAAACTAAGACCAGAGTAGAATTATAAGACCAGGCAACAAAGCCATGGAGCACAAAATTAGGCAACAAAATCATGGAACACAAGTTTAGGCAATAAAGTCAAGCAGCAAATCCTGCTTGAAAGTTAGGCATCGAAGCTAAGCAACAAATACAAACGACAGAGTCAATTTACTAAGCCACCAAATACTAATAAAAGATTCATGTTACAAACATGAGAAACAAATATAAGCAACAGATCCATATAAGAAAACCAGGCTACGATTCCCGGAAACAAAATGAAGCAACAAACCCATTTTATAAAACCAAACAAGAAAGCCAAGTAAGAGAGAGAGAGAGTATAAAGGTAGACGAGAAAGTCACGCAATATTGCCAGGAAACAAAATGAAGCAACAAATTCATTCTAAAAAACCAGACAACATAACCAGGCAACAAACAAAGGTACAAAACCTGGCTGTAAAGCTACATAAGAAAGCCACGCTACAAATGAGGAGCTACAATGCAGTGCCAGATTAATCTTCCGCTTATTTTAGTGCCGCTTAGCGTTGCGCAATCTTTGGCACAGGTTTGTATAACGAGTTCTGGCTTAGGTCCGTCTTCACTCTCTCTCCTCATATACTAGAGGCAAGGCTGGCTCCGTTTATTTATTTCGAATATATATATTTATGCTGTCTCGATACTGGCTTTGTGCCCATCGCTGACAGTATGACTGTTATGACAGCACGACATCATGACACTGTCATGTCTATATATACATTGCAAGTCATCAGGCACCTCTCAACACATCTCGTGAAAGTCACTTCGAGGTAATATGCATTTTCATAATTTTCCATCTTTTTAATTACCCGGATGATAGAAAGAAAGCGTTGTGGGGGAGAGAAATGGTATGGAATATCGAGACGATGGATAAAGACGAAAATGCAAAATAATGTTTGAGATTTAATAAAGTCAACCGTGTGAGGGAAACGTTGTCAATAAATGATCGCATTATACTCCCCTTGTGCCTTTATCCAGCATAATGGTGTGGTGGTGAGCATTTTAGAGATGTCACTGACATGTATAGTGGTGATTTTGAAGTGTCAATTAGATGATTTGGAAATTCTTAATTAAATTATGTGACGCGGTGCACTTCCTTTATGGAAACTTAGTGATTACATCTCATGTTAACTGTCTTTTAAATATTTAAAGTTGGGTTCTCGGTCAGTTAACGATGCTTCTAAAAATTTTCATTTTATAAGCATATTTTATTCTGTAGGTATTGGATTCACCTTCGCAGCTGGTAATGTGATTGCAGAATTTGATGTGATTATTAATAGCAATTTTTTTGTGCGTACGTAACTAATTGTTCTGTTATGCGTAAATTCCTCCCAGTCTCCCAGATATTAACTCATAATTGTTGCACAGTCCCCAGTAGACGCGTGTTTTTTTTATGGTGAATGATTTAAAAAACTATAATTTTTGAAGACAGTGTTGCTTGTTTTGGGAATAGATATTTTTGCTGTTTTCTTCGATCTTTAGATGACAGAATAACCAGTGTAGTTGGTGGACGTTCCTTTATTCCCTACTATGTTTGTTAACTGCTCATTACTCTGTAATTTGTCTATGATTGTAATCATGTCATAACGTGTTTATCATTCATTACCTTTGAAACTTAGTCATGAGTGTGACCAGCTCTACCTGGAGCTCATTACCTTTGTAAATTCTCATGATTAATGTGTTTATGATTCATTACCTTTGCAATTATTCATGAGTGTGACCAACTCTACCTGGAGCTCATTATAAGAACATAAGAACATAAGAAAGGAGGAACACTGCAGCAGGCCCGTTGGCCCATACTAGGCAGGTCCTTTACAATTCATCCCACTAACAAACATTTGACCAACCCAATTTTCAATGCTACCCAAGAAATAAGCTCTGATGTGCAAGTCCCACTCAAATCCAACCCCTCCCACTCATGTATTTATCCTACCTAAATTTGAAACTACCCAAAGTCCTAGCCTCAATAACCCAACTAGGTAGACTGTTCCACTCATCTAAGAACATAAGAACATATCTAAGGTCATGATTATGACCAAATCTAGTTCATTACCTTTGTAACTTGCTCAGCTATCAAAACTTTGGAGTCCAGTCCCTGGACTAATTATGTACCTCTGTAATCTTTTGACTACCGCCCACAGGATGGGTATGGGGTGCATAATAAACATATTAAACTAAACACGGCACGCGGCACACGGCACACGGCACACGCATAGTATACAATTTCTGCCTGAAGTCATTGAGAATTTGTAACTCCTCACTTCTTGTTTAAGAGAAAGCAGCAGTTGGAACAATTCTCTATAGTATCCAGGTATTATAACATCCAGTATTATAACATCCAGTATTATAGTATCCAGGTTTGGTACTAAACTTGCACACGAAGATCACTCCCTATGAAAGCAGAAGATGCAACATTCCCCCGATGAAAAGCAGGGACGCCACGAGTACACTGAGAGACAACACAATAATGCCGGGGCCCAAACTGTTAAAACTGCCCCAGCTAAATAAGGGGGTTTTCCATTACCCCCCTGGCTGTCTTAAGAAGACACTGGACAGGCACCAAAGGGTCAATACCTGACCAAACCCCGGGTGGGTTGTACGCATTTCGGCGGCCAGCAGAACAGCCTGGTTGACAAACCCTTTATCCACCTTGAGGTGGGCCAGACAGGGCCACGGGGGCTTGCCCTGAAACCCCCTTTTTTACCTGGGGAAAATGCACAGGGGGGGGTATACCTAGGTATCCGGAAAGAGTTCCGGGTGATATCTTTTAATTTAAACCCTTTAAACCCGCCTTGGGGCTAAAGTTCATTTTTGTCAGCGTCTTAGTTTCAATCACCCCGGGGGAAAACCCACCATCGGTTTATACACAATGACAACCCGAACCCCTATTAAAATTCCTGAAGTGTCTTTGGGTTTAAGTTCTAAAAATTTTGTGAATATACAAAACCACGTGTGAGAAAACTGAAAATATTTAAAAGAGTATCTCGCCCTCAGTCAGAGGCACCCCTCTGCAGATCTGCTAAAAAGGGTCTCTGATCGATGCCGAAATATACATTTTGTATATACACTAAGAGATACATGATTATATACACCTGGAAAATCCTAGAGGGACTAGTGCCGAACTTGCACACGAAAATCACTCGCAACGAAAGCAAAAGACTCGGCAGATGATGCAACATCCCCCCAATGAAAAGCAGGGGTGTCACCAGCACGTTAAGAGACAATACAATAAGTGTCAGGGGCCCGAGACTGTTCAACTGCCTCCCAGCATACATAAGGGGGATTACCAATAGACCCCTGGCTGTCTTCAAGCAGGCACTGGACAAGCACCTAAGGTCGTTACCTGACCAGCCGGGCTGTGGTTCTTACGTTGGATTGCGTACAGCCAGCAGTAACAGCCTGGTTGCTGAGGCTCTGATCCACCAGGAGGCCTAGTCACAGACCGGACCGCGGGGGCGTTGACCCCCGGAACTTTCCCCAGGTAACTCCAGGTAAACTAAGTAAAGCTCATCTTTCGGTGAATATACACTGAGGTGAGCATCTCTGCTATATATGATGCGAGAGTTATAAAAATTTCTGTGTTTAATTGTTGGGCGATACATACTTCCCAGAGGGCATTCACTGAGAGATGCTTCTAGGTGTAAATTCATCTTGGTGTATAAAGTGGGATATGATATACACACGTCTCGGCGTGTATACCGACACATTAACTGGTGACCAAACTTATTCAATAATGCATTTACTTGCACGTTTCTACCATTAAATGAACGTTGGTTAGTCGACAAATCTGAATGTTTCGCAATTTGATTTAGCCTAAGAAATAAGATGGAGCTTATTCGTTCAGAAGGATGCGGCTTTACTACGATTAGTCATGATGCTGTTTACATACCTACTAACTCCGTCATGCCAGTAATCATGGAGCTGATGGTCACCTGCCTTGTTTATCCCACCACTCAGCTGGATTATGTCGTCTCTAAGTGACGTGTTTGACGTCACTGCAGTAACTGCTGTGGAAGCTGTGCATTAATCTTAAAATACATAAAATATGCTAAAAGCCCTTAAATTAATAAGTATTAGTAACTGTTTAAATTTAACAGTTTGTTTCTACAGCAGTATTTATACTGGACTGATTCTTTAGGCTAAGTTCCGTGTCAGCACGATGCTGTGAACACTAACTCCAAGGCCGAGGGACTGATTACCTCATCTTTTGTATATAGTTCTACTGTCTTCCTATTATGTCCTAGAATCTGTATTGATAAAGCCACTGGATGGCGAAACGTCTACTACAATAAAGATACCCAGATGTTGCACATGTGTCTTAACTTTCATTATAAGATTAGTTTATAAACGTATTCTGCTGTAACTTTGTAAATTACATAAATACCCACACACACACCCGTACTCCATTTCCCTTAATAAAAAGTCCAAAGAAAAGAAACAAGGACGTCGCAAACCCGAAAACAGTAGTTAGTTTTAGTTTAATATGTTTATTATGCACCCCATACCCATCCTGTGGGCGGTAGTCAAAAGATTACAGAGGTACATAATTGGTCCAGGGACTGGACTCCAAAGTTTTGATAGCTGAGCAAGTTACAGAGGTAATGAAATCACAATTTACAAAGGTAATGAACTCACAATTTACAAAGGTAATGAACTCACAGTTTGCAAAGGTAATGAACTCCAGGTAAGTCTGGTCACAATCATGACAAGTTACAAAGGTATTTACAGATTACAGAGGTACGTAATGGGTCCAGGGACTGGGCCCCCAAAGTTTTGATAGCTGAACTAGGTACAAAGGTAATGAGCTCACAAGTTACAAAGGTAATGAATTCTGTAGAATGGTTACTTACGTTTATACTTTGGCTACAATCATGAACAAATTATAGAGTAATGAGCAATTCACACTTCCACACCCGGTCACAACTGTAATGAGTTATTGGTGCAATATTGATTGTTGAGTCACACACCACCACACACACACACACACACACACACACACACACACACACACACACACACACACACACACACACACACACACACACACACACACTTTAGTTTAATATCTTTATGCACAGTTACTAAAAACAACAGACATAGCCCCACTCCACAAAGGGGGCAGTAAGCAACAGAAAAGAATACAGACCAATAGCACTAACATCCATATCATAAAAATCTTTGAAAGGGTCCTAAGAAGCAAGATCCCCACGCATCTAGAAACCATCAGTTACACAACCCAGGGCAAAAATGGGTTTAGAACAGGTCGCTCCTGTCTGTCTCAATATTGGACCACTACGACAAGGTCTAAATGACTAGAAGACAAAAAGAATGCAGATGTAATATATACAGACTTTGCAAAAGCCTTCGAAAAGTGTGACCATGGCGTAATAGCGCACAAATTGCGTGCTAAAGGATAACGGAAAAGTCGGTCGATGGATCTAAAATTTTCCCTCACAAAACAGAACACAGAGAGTAGTCGTCAACAGAGTAAAGTCCGAGGCGCTCCGGTGAAAAGCTCTGTCCACAAGGCACAGTACTCGCTCCCATCTTGTTCCTCATCCTTATATCCGACATAGACAAAGGGTGTCAGCCACAGCACCGTGTCTTCCTTTGCAGATGACACCCGAATCTGCATGACAGTGTCTTCCATTGCAGACATGCAAAGCTCCGGCAGACATCAAACCCAAAACTTTCAGTGGGCTGCAGAAAACAATATGAAATTCAACGTGAGAAATTTCAATTTCTCGATATGGTAAACATGGGAAATTAATCTTCTCAGAGTACAAACAAATTCTGGCCACAAAATAGAGCGAAACACCAACGTCAAAGACCTGGGAGTGATCATTTTCGGAGGATCTCACCCTTTAAGGACCTAACCCTTGTATCAATCGCATCTGCTAGAAAAATGACAGGATGGATAATGAGAACCTTCAAAAATAGGGAGGCCAAGCCCATGATGACACTCTTCAGGTCACTTGTTCTATCTAGGCTGGAATATTGCTGCACACTAACAGCACCTTTCAAGGCAGGTGAAATTGCCGACCCAGAAATGTACAGAGAACTTTCACGGCGCGCATAACGGAGATAAAACCCCTCAATTATTGGGAGCGCTTGAGGTTCCAAAACCTGTTTTCCCCTGGAACGCAGGGGGAGATAAGATTATTTCACCTGGAAAACCTAGAGGGATAGTCCCGAATTGCACACGAAAATCCCCTACGAAGAAAAAGATTTGGAGACGATGCACACCCCCCCAATAAAAAGGGGGTGTCACTAGACTTTAAGAGACCATACAAAAAGTGCGGGGCCCGAGACTGTTCAACTGCCTCCCACACAAAAAGGGGGATACCAACAGCCCCGGGCAGTTTCAAGCTGGATGGAAAAGCACCTAAAGTCAGTTCCGGATCAGCCGGGCTGTGGCTCGTATGTGGTTTGCGTGCAGCCAGCAGCAACACCCGGGTGATCGGGCTCTGATCACCAGAGGCCGGGTCTCAGCCCGGGCCGGGGGGGCGTTGACCCCGGAACCTCTAAGGTAAACTCCGAAAACCCCATGCCACCCTGTGGGCGGTAGTAAAAGATTAAAAAGGGTACAAAATGGGTCCAGTGACGGGCCCCCAAATTAGTGGGTGAACTGTTACAAAGGAAATGAATCCGGGTAGATCTGGTCACTAATCATGGCAAGTTACGAGGTAAGAATCAGCTTCACTCCTTACGGGTTTCAGTCATGAACAAATTACAAAGAATGAACACTGATACGTCCCACCCTGGGCAATTTTAAAGAGTTATAAAAAACAAATATTTAAATGGATCTACCCCACACTAGCGCGCGCGCGCACATCACACACGAGGGGGCACGCACGGCATGTGACACAGCGTACAAATATTGATACACCAAAAGGGGCACAAAACAGTGTAGACAAGTAACCCGAATTCAAATTTGATTCAATTTACTTCAAGTTTTTTCTCTATAAAGGGTTACAATGTGGGGTTTAATTTTGAGTACGTGTGGTTTTCATTTATAAATACTAATTACGAGGGGACAACTGGACACCTACTGGCTAGGGTTTTTTGGCGATTAATTAATTCTTAAAAATTAAATCCTTATTATTAAAATTTTAAAAATTAGCCAGTATTCTCCCGGCCCGGCCCTTTTTAGTGGTGGCCCGCCTTGGCTCCCTTTTAGGGAGGGTGAGACTAAGTTCCCATGGGAGGGGGCACAAGTACCTCCTCCTTTGGGACCAACTGTCCCCCCGGGCCCACCAAAGCTAGGCCTCTCTGATGTGCCATCCCCGCCCCAAGGGAGCAAATGGGAATGACAGTCTTATGAGCTAAAGGCTCGGACTCAGGCACCTACCCTACCCTAGAAGGGTTAGGCATGGTGTCGATCATTAAATCCTTACAGATTATGGTATTAAGGCTAAGTGACTACATCATATTTGTGAGTTTAGCAATGTGAATGCTTTTGTTTTGGCACAATACAAAGTGTCTATATTGGAGTATCATAGGCAAACTTATGACTAGTTAGGTTTTATTATTTTAAGATTAAGATTAGTATTTCTGGGTTTATAGTCAGTGGGTGAGTGAGTGTAAGTGTGAATCACCAGGTGGTTATCATGTAGTTAGTTGTCGGGGTGGATCAGGGAGATAAGATGTTTTCTAACTGTAGTTTTGAAAGTGATGAATGTGTCTGCAGTTCTAGATTTTTTCAGGTAGGGTGTTCCAGATTTTAGGTCCTTTGAAATACATTGAATTTTTGTAAAGGTTTAGGTCGAACACGGGGAATGTCATAGAGATGTTTGTGTCTGGTGTTTGCCTGTGGATCCTGTCATAACTATCAAAGAAAGCGTTTTAGGTCAAGGTTAATATTGGAATTTAAGGTCCCGTAGATATAGATTGCACAGTAGTAAGTGTGGATGTTTGAACAGGGAGTAAGTTTAGATCTATGAAGAGTAGGGGGGGGGGTGTTGCCAGAGATGGGGTTTAGTGATTATCTTACTGTTGGCTTTTGTTGGGTTTTTTATTGGTTTAGGTGTGTTGCTGCAGTTGAAACCCCAAGCACAGATAGCATAGGTGAGGTATGGTATATTTAAGTGAATGGTATAGTGTGAGAAGGGCAGTTTTTCGGCACGTAGTATCGTATCTTGGAGAGGATCCCCACCCTTTTTGGGTACTTTTTTTGTTATGTGTTTGGGTATGGGGCTGAAATTTTGGTTGTTGTCGAGTATAGGCCCAAAGGAATTTGCCCTCATTATGTCTGGCAAATTAGTGTGTTGTCGATCTTAAAAGTTTAAATTGTGCAACACCCGCTCTGCTACCAAACATAATATAGTAGGTTTTGCCCCGTGTTAAGTGTAATTTGTAATAAAGTTGGTAGAATTACCCACAATATGTAAAGTAAAAGGACACAAGTGCAACTAATGTGACATTTATTGTGGCAACGTTTCGCTCTCCTGGAGAGCGAAACGTTGCCACAATAAATGTCACATTAGTTGCACTTGTGTCCTTTTACTTTACAAAGTGTAAGTTTATTGGCTGTCATCCAAGTCGATATTTTGAGCAGCTCCTCGTTAACAATGGTGTTGAGGGTGGCAAGATTAGGGTGGGAGATGACATAAGTCGTGTCGTCAGCAAAGAGAATGGGTTTCAGGTGTTGGGATATGTTTGGAAGATCATTGATGTAAATGAGGAAGAGCAGGGGTCCAAGGACACTTCCCTGCGGAACTCCAGTATCAAGTGGCCCAGAGCCATATTATTAGCATCAACATACCTTGTTCACTGAATTTAATCGTTTCTAACAACTAACTTTAGATGTCATCATAAACGAAGGGAGAAGTAATGAATAATTCATGCCGAAAATTGTAAACAAAAGCGGAGTGGGGGAGTGGCTGGGTCAAACGCAGATTCATACACGTTTTGACTTAAGAAATCGTAATGACACGATTGCAAATAAACCATACCCCCGGCCGGGATTGAACCCGCGGTCATAGAGTCTCAAAACTCCAGCCCGTCGCGCTAACCACTAGACCAGCTAGCCACAATAAGATTCATCCAACTAGGTATATTTCTACACCATAGGAAGGTTAGCACAGGCACCTCTGTGACCACAAATGCAAGTTTTTACAGACGAATCTCCAGCTAGCGTGGCCGTGACGAACTCTTAGTGAAGGGACTTGAGCTAGAGTTCGTCACGGCCACGCTAGCTGGAGATTCGTCTGTAAAAACTTGCATTTGTGGTCACAGAGGTGCCTGTGCTAACCTTCCTATGGTGTAGAAATATACCTAGTTGGATGAATCTTATTGTGGCTAGCTGGTCTAGTGGTTAGCGCGACGGGCTGGAGTTTTGAGACTCTATGACCGCGGGTTCAATCCCGGCCGGGGGTATGGTTTTTTTCATACACGTTTTCTCTGGTGGCTGAGCAGAGAAAATGTAATGTTGTTCCTCTGCCCGGCTACCACACAGGTCCACAAGTATTATTATCAGAGCACATATAAGATATGCAATATATGCCAGACAACAAGTTTACACTAACTTATATTAAGTTAGCATTAGAAATAGGCATTAAAAACACAATAAAAGTTAAGATACACACAGAGTACACTTATTACTCTCCTTAAAATATTAATATTAAGGTGTGAGAGGTGAGTGGCAGGGTGTTTATTGAATAAAATCAGAATGGCACACAATCATCCTCTAACTTGGCTTATGACTCCTCGTTTTACCACAGTTAAGCTTAGACGCCATCGTCAATGAGAGCCAACTATTTAAAAAAAGAGCAAAAGAGAGAGAACGAGTCAGGTTGAGACAATGTTAGAATAAAAACCCGAACAGGAGGGGGCGATCATTTGGTCGGGCGAAATAAATGCGTTTTAATTGTCATTTAGTTTTTCACATAATTTGTAAGTTTTTTAAAAATTTACCTAAATATTTTTTTTTTTTTATAAAAAATTACCTCACAATACAAATATTTTACATTGTGTAAATTGTAAAGTTATACAGAATAAACAAACAGCAACCACCTTTTTGAGTTAATGAAGATTATTATTATTATTATTATTATTATTTTTTTATTTTTTTTTATTAAAATTTTATTATTATAAGCAAAAACCCAAAAGGGCGTGAATTGTATATAAAGGAAGGCTACAAAGATTATTTTTATTATTATTATTTTATTATTATTTTAGGGAAAAATTTTTTGGGTCTTACCGTATGTCCCAACATTATTTAATACCGTAATCTCTTGGGAGACAATATATTGTTTCCGTAGTCACCCGTGTAGACATGTGAAAAAAATTAACCCCCCCTGGTGGCACCAAGGGTCCCCTCGCCCTCAAAATCTGACCCATATCATCCGAGACAGTAGGATGGGTAGACCCACAAGTGGTGCTACTAATTAATGGGGACTGTATAGTTATTTAGTTTAACAAATAAAGGGGGGGGGTGGGGAACACATGGATACTCCGTAAGGAAAACATTTGTAAAAACCCCCCAAATCTTACCAGATGTTCCTGGTGGTCATTTGTGTAGCTGGTCACTCTAACCTATCAAATTTTTAAAAACATACCACTACTGCCAGTTAAGGTTGCATAATAGAAGGGTTACTTAATTTGGGGGGTGTTTGATTTTCCTCATTTCTTGATTCCCCCATCTCATTTTCGATGCCCTGCACCCGACACGATTCTCTTTCCCGCAGGCAGGTATCCGCTGGTTTGTCCTGTTTTAGACGTCGTGACTCAAGGATTTTCCCCTTTACTGTCTCGTTAAAACGGGTCTAGCGTGTTCACTCGGAACAAACGCTTATTTCATTCACATATTCTTTTTAACTTAGGTTATTATCTTAATTACATTACAATTCACAAGCCGATTTAAGTCTCAAACATTATACAAATAGGGCCCACTAAAATTAAGATCAAACCCGATAGTATGATTAACCCAAAGGGGAAATTTTCCCGGACACAGCCCTTTTGTGGGCGTCATCACCCGCCCCTTTCTTTCCATTTTTACCACTCTTTATGGGGCCCCGTAAATCCGTTCCCTCATCTCCCCCGGGAAAACTTTACGACACTTTTATTATGAAAGAGGCCTTATTAATCCTTGGGGCCACGGAACGTCAATTTCGTGGTTCCATTTTTTTTCACTTCCCACCCCATTCAAAAAATCGCGCCCCCCCCCCCCCGCACTCCGCGCATCCCAAAAGGGAATTTTGGGTTCTACTCTTTTTTTAAAATATTTTTTTGACCCATATAGACACATTAAACACCTTTTAGGCCTTAGTTTGGAAAATAAAAAAAATTTTCCACACTGGGCCCGGGCGGAGGTCGTTGCTAGACGTTTTACAAAATGGGAGTAAAATTTTCCCCTTTCACTGGCCCCCCTATTTATTAAACCCTAAAAAAGGGGACTAATTAGTGTTCCTTCTCTCGGGGGCTAACCTATCCCCCCGGGATTAATTTTTGGGCATACTGAATTTTGAGCTTGAACAATAAAAAGTCTTCTTTCCCCAAAGTCACCCCCAGCAATTCGTATAGGCCCCAACTCCATGGCCATTAATTTATTGATCCCAAAAAAGGGCTAATTAGTGTTTCCTTTCTCAGGGGCATAAGCCATGCCCCCTGGATTAATTTTTTGGGGATACTGAATTTTGAGATTTTAACAAAAAACTTCTCTAGACCCCAAGCAGTCCCACCATTTTTTCTTTTTTCTTAAACCCCCTTTCAAAAACCCTTTAGTTCCCTTCATTTGAGTCACACCCGGGAAAAATTGTCCAAAAGATTTTTTCCCCAATTACTTGCTCAGTGGCCCCCTTGCATTTAAGGGTGCATTTATGTCGCCTAAAGAAGAAAATTTTTTATTTAATGCTTATTAATTAATCTTATAAGCATCAAAAATTTTTGGTGTTTGTCAGTTCGCAGAGGGGGCCCTTTAATTTCCAAACGCATCCAAATTTTTATAGGTAATTTGGCGGTCAAGCTTCCAGGAAAGTCGCCCCCAGTAAGCCCCAAATTCAATTTAACACTTCATATTGCCCCTGAAAAAGGAATCATTGGATTTCCTCTTTTAAATTTAACCCCCTATCTGTCAGCTCCCAAAAAATTAGACGGGTTTTCAACATCTTTTCTCGTAGAAGAAAACTTGTAGGGGTTAAATTTTCGGTAAGACACGTGCCCTTTATTCCAAATTCCCTTCATTATTACTGGCGGTAGCTGCCATATATTAAAGGGCCCGTACCAGTGTTGAGGGAGTGACACCGTAGGGTTTTGGGTTTACCCCTTTATCCTGAATTTTTACACCCAACACCGGCAAGGTACCTAGTGGGGCCATCTTTATTGCCATTAGTGAAACCCTTTACATCGTCACTGTAGGTGGGTTATTAACATTATCTTTATTGCACCATTATTATAAAAAATCACAACAACCCTGCACAAAAACTGTAGGGGGCTTTCCCTTTTGCTTGATAGCAACGTTAATTTTGGGTATGACAATCCTTTACATTATGATTGCTGACATTGATAAATCGTCAAGTTTTTCATTTTTTCCCACTTTAATGTCCATGAATTACGGCTTTTACAATTTTTATAAAATGAGTACCTGGCAGAAGAGGCAGTTCTCTTTTCCTTGCCTGACCTTTATTAACCGGGTTTCATTACCGAGGTACTTTTTCCCCTTTTCCTTGATGTGAGGAACCACTATTACTGATTCCCGACTTATATTTTCCTATTTTTCTTAACTATGATTATTACCACTGGGGTTAAAATTTTCCCTTTTTAGATTGACAGATATTAGCGTCATTATGTGTTTATCCTTAGAACTGTTTGGCTGGCTGGTTTCAATTGAACAATTAAATTTCCGCCGACCCAGTCTGATTTCCTCCCGACCGTACTATGGAGGGTTTTGGGAAACCCCCCCTTTTCATTTAAAAGGTTTATAACGCCGGTTACACCCTTAATTTATTCAAAACCTTACTTTTTCAAAACAGTTTTTCTTCCAATCGTAAAGTTGATTAATTAAAAAATTTATTTCCTTTACTGCCAATTCTCCAGAGATCTCTTTCACAGTCTTTAAACCCAAATTTTTACCAATCAAAACTACTCTCTAAAGCATCTAAATATAAAATTAATTCATTAGGGTTCACGGGTTTTTTGTTCACTAAATCAAAGCCTTGTCACATGGCTTTTAATAGCTGTAATGATGCTTTCATTCTCTAAAATTCACGGGGCTTGTCACCACTTAACTCCCTTTGATCCATCTGGGTTTGAGAAATTTTTAAACACTGATTAACAACTTAATAGGCGCCTTTAAGATAATTTTTTGCACTTTCTCTGTTAAATCCCAGCCACCATGTGCTAGCAATTTTAAATTTGGGGTAATTGTCATCCCTCAACGTCGATTAAACTTGTGCACCCTACACCCACTTCCTTCAATCAGTCACTTAATTATTTAAGTAATTAAATCAATTAATTTTTCATGATTGCACCCCGGGTTTTTGAAGGACCAACGGGCAGATATGGAAATTTTTGGGTGCTTCCTGTATGTACCTCAACATTAATAAAACCAGTAATTCATTGGAGACATCATATTTTTACCGTAGTCACCCGTGTGACATTGAAAAACTTAAACCCCCCTGGGCGCACCCGTGGGCCCCCCACCTCACAATCTTATCCCTATTTTCCGAGACCAGATGGGTTGGGTAGCACCCCCAAGTCGGTGCTATAATTTAAATTTTGGGGCTGTATAGATTATATTTTTTAACGAATAAGGGGGGGGGGGTAGGACACACATGGATAATCCCTAAGGAAAACATTTTTTACATAAACCCTACTTACCAGAGTTCTCTGGTGGTCACTTGATGTAGTGGTCCTCGTAACTAAATTATAAAAATACCCCTATGGCCATTAAGGGTTGCTATAACGAAGGGGTTCTTAACTGTGGGTGATTTATATTCCTCATTTCTTGATTCCCCTCTCTTTTCGATGTTGCTACACCGACACATTCTCATTTCCGAGGCGAGGTTCCGTGGTTTCCTGCTTTAGACGTCGTGACTCAAGGAGTTTCCCCTTTCTCGTCTCGTTAACCGGTTTTGCGTTTCACTCGGAACAAAAAGACTTATTTCATTCCATATTCTCTTTCTTTGCGTTATTTTCATTTTTTACATTTAAAAATTTACAAACCGATTTTGCGTCTCATAACTATTATACAAATGGGTCACTCCTTAAGATCTAGACCCATGAGTGATGTTAATCCCAAGGGGAATTTTCCCAGGAACAGCCATTTGGGCGTCAGTCACCGCTCCTTCCTTATCACACTTTTACCACTCTATTATGTGGTCCCCTAAATCCCGTTCCCTCACTCCCACCAGGAACAAATTTCGCACTTCTTTTTATGAAATGAGGCCCATATTAATCCCTTTGGGCCCCGTAACGTAATTTCGTGTTCCATGTTTTTTTTCAGCTTCCCCCCCTTCAAAAAAAAACGCGCCCCCCCCCCCCCGACTCCCCGCATGCGCAAAGGGGAAATCTTGGTTTACTCTTTTATTTATTTATTTATTTATTTATAAATTTTAGCCACTTTTCAAGGTACAAAAAAAAAAAAACAGAAAGAGCAGCATGCCAAAGCCACTTATACATGCATAGCATTACGGGGGTTAAAAATTAAAAAATTAAGATTAAATAAACAAAGATGAAATCAGTGAAAAAAATTAATGTAAACGTTTCTATAAACCAAGTGAGTATTACAAAAGAAGGGCATATGGTTGCATGCATTGTTTAAATTCATAGAATGGAGTATTCTGTTAGGGAGTGAATTTAAAAATAATAAAGTTAGATTGGGGTTTTTGGTTTAACATTTTTGTGATTAATTTTAGAAACATTTAAAATATACAATTTATAAGGTTCAGTTATTCAGTATTTATTTGGTTTTGGGTGAGTAAGTGATCTTTGAGAGAGACTTTAATTTATAAACAGGTAGGTTTCTTTTTTAAATTTTCAGGTAATGAATTTCCCGATTTTAGGGCCTTTTAGTGCATTGAGTTTTTGCATAGCGTGAGATGGAAAAAGGGAAAATCAAAGAGTGACTGTGCCTTGTTTATGGTCATGGTTCTGTTGAGGTTTGGGAAGGGGGATTTTGAGGGGAGGGTTAATATCAGAGTTGAGTGTTCTATTATGTAATAGGGGCAGTAATAAGTATGGATGTTTTGTAGGGTGGTAGGTTGAGTGTTTGAATTTGTGGAGTGGCTGCCTGTAGTGGAATTTGTTATCTTCTAACTGCGCCTTTTTTTGGGAATTAGTGGTTGAGATGGGTTTTGTTGTTTACCCATGCACAAAAACCATAGTGAGATGGGTAAAAAAAGAGAGTGTATAGGGGCCAGGGGGGTGACTTGGGGATAGTACCCTATCTTCATGTATGCCTACGCTTGGAAATTTTCTTTGAAAATTTTTTGTATATGTGTATGAAATTTTAGTCTATTATCAAGGTGGTTTCCTAAGAAATTTTCCCCTGTTAGCTTTTGATGGTGATCCGTTTTCATTATGTTAAGAAGGGCATCTGTGCTCTTTACCAAACTGAATGAAGTGGTTTTGTCAAGTTTAGTGTAAATTTGTTAGTACTCTTCCCGGGAGATATTTTCTGAATTCGGTATTTACGTTTTGGCTGCGTGACTGGGCTCGGGGGGGAAAAAGACGTATGTTGTGTCATCAGCAAATAGTGGGGGTTTTGGTAATTGAAGCATTTGGTAGGTCATTTATGTTAGGAGAAAGAGAAGAGGGCAAGGGAAACCTTCCCTGGGGGACACCAACTGTAAGGGTTGTGCAGAAGATTTTTGCCCCATTTGCTACACAAATTGGCTTCTGTTGCTGGGGTAGACTTGGGGAAAATTTGAGGAGGCCCTCTTATCCTAGTGTGATAATTTTACGTGGAGCAAGTCATGGTCAACTGAATAAAAAGTTTTACGAAGTCTGAAGACCCCCAGGGGGGGACTTTTTTTTTTCTCTTTTGCAGTGTAATATGTTCTAGATGTTATAATAGCTCATTATATTTTTTTTGGGCCCTAATCCAAATTGGGGGGGTTGGTTTTGTTTTGGGAGAAAAGGGTGGAGAAATTTTTTAAAATTTAATTTTTCGAAGATTTTTGAGAGAGGGTGTAAGTTGATTTTGGGCCTATTTATTCAACTCTTTTGGTCTCCCCCTTTTGTGGTTTTTGCCCCTTTAAAAGAACATTAAACACCTATTGGGCACATAGTTTCGAAAATCAAAAATTTTCCACAATTTTATTAAAATTTTATTATTATTATTATTATTATTTAAAGCAAAAACCCACAAGGTCGTGAATTGTATATATAGATGAAGCATACGAAAGAATTTTTTTAAGTTACCCCCCCCAGTTTGACTAGAAAAAACGTAAGTTTTTCCGACACTCCCTACACACCCGCTTCGAACAAATCTCATATTTGCTGAATATTTATTCTGAGGTGTATGCCCCTCGGGGAAGGGGTTCCTTGATGTTGGTGAGGGGCCTTTGATTTAGGGAATTGGGATCTGTGTCCATTCCCCCAAATTAACCCGAAGCCTTCCACACCCCCCCCCCCAGGCGCTTATAATCCCCCGGGTTTGCGTTTCCCCCCTTGATTATAATAATAATAATGAAGTGTTGTGCATGAATACGCTATGTAAGGGTTTTTCATGTAAAATTTTGGGGAAAATCCAAATGGTTTAATGAAAATGCCTTATTAATTAAAAATCCCAAAGAGTCCCCAAAGTGATTATTATACGTTTTGGATCTGAGTAGAGAACTTAGCGTTTTTAAATTTTACCTGCCACCAGTACAGTGTAAAAGTATATTTAGTCAGGACACAAGTATAATTGTCAAAGTACATATAAAAACACAGAAACTTAAAACATTGAGATTTTGAAATTTTCCTGACATAATAGATGGGTCCGAGAATGTAAAAAAAACCGGGGGGGCCCCTGTTTTGAAAGACCGTTTGCCGTATAGCAAATTTTGGGCATAATTTGACATCGCTATTAGAGGAACCCCTTAAACCCCGGGGGCCTATGAAAAATTTGAAATAGGGTAGAGGAAATAGCCTTAAATACATTATTTGGTTATGAAACGGTCAGATAGCCCTCGTAATCTGAGGCATGGGTAAACGAGTCGTCGCTAAGTGAGGAGGGGCTGACAGGATACGCCCTTGTGCTTAGGCTTCTTTTTTTTTTATAATAAAAAAATGTACAGGAACCTTTTCAAATTTGTGCAGCGACTGAAATGATGTTTTTAAAAATTTGATTAAAATTCATAATTTCCCTATGTCATGTGAGTCAGGCTACTTTCATGTTCATATTCTGTCATCTCTAAAAAACCTTTTTGTAAACTACTGGAAAGGAGGTAATTTTTTCTGGGTGTATGACCCCCTTGTTTTACTGCTCCCACTTTTTGAAATAATTTTACCGAACATTATTGAATAATGTTACTCGAACATTATTTAATAATGTTACTTGATTTTTGTTTTGTGGCGTCGGTCAGCTGTCAGTGCCGTCTCCTTATTAAACAAAATTAATGTAATATTGCATTGTTTTCAAAATTTGCCAATACCTCCCCCCCCCCCCCTCCCCTCCGTATTCCCCCCCCTTCCTTCCCCTCTATCTCCCCCCTAACCCCCCTTGCTTTTCCCCTCTTCACCTTCCTTTCTCAACTCCCCTTTCCCTTTTCTGTCTTTTCTAGTTCTTTTCTCTCCTTCTCCCCCTTCCTCTTCCCTTTTTTCAATCTTTCCTTTCCCCAACCCCTCTTTCCCTCCCCCATTCTTTCCCCTCCCTTTCCCTTTCCCACTTCCCCCTTTCCAGTGACCCCCCTCCTTTTTCCCCTTTTTCCTTCCTCGTCTATCTCTTTCCCCACTTCCCTTTTCCTCCTTTCACCCCCTCCTGTTTTCAAGCATCTCACATTTCCCTCTCTCTTCTATCTTCTTCCAGCCCCCTCTTTCACTTCCCTTCTCATTCCATCCCAAACCCCTCCCCCCCCCACCCTCTCTCTGTTTTTTTCCCTCAGGCACCCTCCTTCCCTTTCCTCCTACCTCCGCCACTACTTTCCCATACCTCTCCCCCACTCTCTTCTCTACTGAACCCCTTCCCCTTTCCCCCTTTTATTAAAACTTCCCTCTAATTTCCCTCCTCATCTCTGCTCCCCATTCCTTCCTTCCTTTCCCTTTTCCCTTTCCCTTTCCCCATTTCTCTCCCCCCTACCCTTTTTTTACTTTTCCCTTTAAAATCTTTTTCCTTCTGCTTCCCCCCTTTTTATTTTTCTCATTCACTCCTAACCCCCAACCTCCTTTCCCCCCCCTCCGTTCCTCTCCTCTTTTATTCCTCTTCCCTCCCTTTTCCCCTCTTATCTACAGACCTTAAACTCCAATTAACCTTTACCTAAAATGCTTTTTTGATAGTTTGACAGAACCCCCAGCCATAACCCCCACCCCTTGACATTCCCGGGCCACAAAAAATTTACAAAAAATTTAAGTTGTAAAGGCCCTAAAATCTGGAACACCCCCCCTGAAACCTAGAACTGCAGACCATTCATCACCTTTAAAAAATACCATTTAAAAAAATCTTATCTCCCTGATACACCTGTCAACTAATTAAAGAATACCACCTGGTGGGTTTACACTTACATCCCCCGCCCATTTGACCATGAACACAGAAAATTCCAAACTTAATCTTTAAAAAATGAATCCTAACTATATAAGTTGGCCTGTGATACTCCATACTGAAAATATGATTGTGAAAAACAAAGCATTCACATTGCTAAAATCACAAAATAGTATTTTGCCCGAAAGCTAGACTGCTAGTGTTCTAGTGGCCCCCTCTGTAATTATATTTTAAAACATGTAAACCACACAAATCCCAAAAACTGAAATCAGCATTGTAAACCCTTCAAGAAAAAACTTGGTTTGATTTTATTTTATTTTATTCCTTCTCTGTTACAAATCAATTTTAAAATTTTTTTCAATACCTCTTTTCTGTCACCAGTAAGTGTTTGGGAAAAGTTGGGTGTGGGAGGGGCAGATTATGACGAGGGGGACGTGATCGAGAGAGTGAACCTGCATCAGGTCAGTATGCTGGGGGAGCCACCCAAATACTCAAAATTTTGGGGGAGGAAGGGGCCCGAAAGGTCTGTGCTCCGAATGGGACACCACCCAGAGGGTCTGGTCAGTTCATTTCTCCATGCTTATGTTTTTATTTATCATCTAATTCAATGTGCCTCTTTTTGGTTTAGTAATCTTGGCCCTATATTGGTTTTGCAAAAGATTTTTTGAATCCTAAAAGTTTTATCCACATAGTTAATATGAAGAATCGCCTTAAATTTGTTGCATACACCCCAAACGCAAAAGCATATAAAAAGGAAAAACCCAGTCCCTTTTTTACCGCCAGCTAAAAAAATTTAGGTGTAATAAATTTAAATTTTTTATTGTTTTAACCCTTCTAAGGAGTAAACTCAGGTGATTATATTATAGCAAAAGTTTCCGGACATTTGAGACGTTGAAAACCCGTCGATTTTATTCAAGTTGATTAAAAAATATCATCACACTAAAAAAATTAATAATTTTGGTAGAATTACCCATATGGCTTAAAAGGACATTGTGCAATAAATCTCGATTAGTTGCCATGGTTTTTTTTTACCTAACAAAGAAAAACACTTTAATAAAACGCCTCTCCAAGTTGGAAAAATTTTTTTTGGGGTCCCAAAAAAAAGCAAAAAAAACTTTATGCGCTACATTAAAAGGCCCCTTTAACCAAACTTACAAACATTTGTCATAATATTTGTCCTAGGAAGATTTACGTAGGTTACACAAAGTAGAAAAAACCGTAGGAATTATTAATACAGTTTTAGGCCTAAAATAGGGTTAAAGGTTTTAAAGTAAATTCATTAGAGAACTGGGGAAATCAAATTTCAAAAGGAGTAGACGCCAGTCAAACCAAATACCAACAGCAATGTAGTGACGCGATTACAGCCCAAAAAAAAAAGGCGTTAATTATATTGGCTGGGGAAAAGAAATAACCTTTAGCGGTTTCCCAAAATAAAGATACTCTCCCTTTTCAGGGACACCCCCGGAAAATTACAATTCCTAGCACTAGCGGCCAAATTTTCTGGGGAAGAAGTAGGGAGTAATCTGGGGTGAGTGCAAACAGTTTGGAGATTGAAGTTCATCTCCAGGTGTCCTGGGGGTTGGGGGGAACCCCAACTTACAAACAAGTGAGTTAATACATTTTGTATGTTCTCACGCAGCAATAGTAATTGGAGATTTTTGATGAGCCCTTTTCGAGCCCGGGGGAATCAGCGGGGTGTTGTGCAGAACTTGGCTGAGTTTGCTGCTCCCTGAGGCAGTTTTGCAAAAAAAATTTCCAAACCCAGTATAAAATTTTTTATAAATTTTTAATTGAGAGAAAACCACAAATCAGTGTACAAGTCTAAAATTTCCCCCTTATAAGTCTTACTCTATGTTAAAATTTTACCCACCCTTTTTTTTGATTTCACGATTGGTTACTGACTTTTCAAGGATGTCAGGAAATACCCCTTTTTATAAATATTTCTTAATAAAAGGTGATCCACCAGGAGGCCTGGTCACAGACCGGGCCGCGGGGGCGTTGACCCCCGGAACTCTCTCCAGGTAACTCCAGTGTGTTATTTCTAATGTTTAAATGTGTTAAAAATCTTGTAATAAGTATAATCAATGCATATTTTGAGTCAAAATTTGTATTAAGGTTCTTATAATTAATTCATTTGAAACAGCTATATAACAGAAATGCTGAAATAATATTTTTTAGCAGTTTTACTAAAATCTACTTGGGACTAAGGAAGCAGCTTCATGGCATATGACAGTTATTAAGGGTAAGTAGAAAAGCAATGTATCAGTTGCTGCCGATGAATGGAATAGGCAGTAGATTATTAAATGCTGTAAAGAGCTTCTAAAAGGAGAGAGAGAGATAGAGAGAGATAGAGAGTGATAGAGAGAGAGAGATAGAGAGAGAGAGAGATAGAGAGAGAGATAGAGAGAGAGATAGAGGGAGAGATATAGAGAGAGATATAGAGAGATATAGAGAGAGATATAAAGAGAGATATAGAGAGAGATATAGAGAGAGATAGAGAAAGAGAGAGATAGAGATAGAGATAGAGAGAGAGAGAGATAGAGAGAGAGAGATAGAGAGAGATAGAGGGAGAGATAGAGAGAGAGATAGAGAGAGAGAGAGATAGAGAGATAGATATAGAGAGAGATATAGAGAGAGAGATATATAGAGAGAGATATATAGAGAGAGATATAGAGAGAGATAGAGAGATAGCAAGAGAGAGAGAGATAGAGAGATAGAGATAGAGAGAGAGATATATAGAGAGAGATATAGAGAGAGAGATATAGAGATATAGAGAGAGAGAGATAGAGAGATAGAGAGAGAGATATAGAGAGAGATATAGAGAGATATAGAGAGAGAGATATAGAGAGATATAGAGAGAGAGATATAGAGAGAGAGATATAGAGAGAGATATAGAGAGAGATAGAGAGAGAGAGAGAGAGAGAGAGAGATAGAGAGAGAGAGAGAGAGAGAGAGAGATAGAGAGCGAGATATCAACAAATAAAAGTGAATTTCATACAAAGATGTACGATGTGACCGTAGATGTTTATAGTGTTTAAAGAAAAACAGGATTAAATGATAATGAAGTATTTTGAATAATGAATTGACATGTTGTCAGTGTGAGAACTGTAACCTTTTCTAAGGGATTCAGTGAACCGGTTAATCAGACTGGAGATTGGAAGTAAGGTGCTTGCACACTGAAGGATGGGTGGGAGTGTTAAAGTGATGCTGAGTGTATTTCCATCTTTGAGCTGTACAGTCTTTGTGAATAAAAAGCTGATGTGGCAGAAACAAAAAAAAAATTAACAAGATGCAGTAAGCTCATACCTGCGGAATGAGAAGTAATGAGAATTGATTCAGTGAAAGGAAAAATAGCTCCAGTGCTTTGGATCAAGAACTTTTGAGAAGCATCAATGTACCCTTCTTAGAGTTAGCCTGCATATATTCTACATTTTCCCAGATAAATCAGAAGTTTAATAGTCGATCCCCTTTAACAGTCAATGAGAATGCATCCAATCCACCTACGTCCTGATGTCTCTCACATTCCCCGTTATTTTGACGCCCGCAATAAACGTGAATGGCAAGGTCGAGTGAGTGGCGTGAGTGACCAGGGATGGTGTGGCGCTTCCTGGGCTTTCTCGACTCTCGGTGTCACTCAAGACAGGTGAGTGACAGTATGTCTTAGTGACAGTGACCTGTTAGTGACAATGACATTTTAATGACTGTACGTATTAGTGACAGTGATGTGTGAGTAACAGTGACGTGTAAATGACAGTGAGTCATGACGTGTGAATGACAGGAGTCATTGACGTGTGAATGACAGTGAGTGACAGTGACGTGTTAGGGATAGTAATGTGAGTGACAGTGACGTGTGAGTGACATACAGGAACCTACTGATTTATTTATTTTTACCCAAGATAATGTGTAATTCAAGGTTGAGATAAAAATATAGAAGTACATCATGTTGTTATAAGTTGTGAGATCGTTCTCGATATTCCGCTATCACAAGTGTTCCCGGGGATGTAGTTGGCATGTGGTAGAAAATATCCATTGCTATATCCTTGCAAATTGATACAGTGTAGAGTTCACTCCATTGCTAAAAGCATGAATAACTCTTGGATTAGCATGGTAGATGGCACTTTATATATCTTTATAAAATACCTTTTATTATTATTATAGGTCACTTTAGTTTTAAAACAATCATAATTAAGTGTAGAAAATATTAAGAAGTTGCATCACATTTATCTTTTTTACCGCTCTTATACCATAGTCCATAAAGATCATTGCAAAAAATTGTTTCTTTAATTACATTTAATGAAAGACACGATACATTGAAAATGCATTTATTAACAGTAACACGGTTATAACATTCGTGAACCACAAGAGTTGAACCTACAACCACTGAAAGCCTAACCTGATAAATCAGAGCAAGTAGTGTTTGGTCATCAACTGTGTATTTTCACAAAATTGCAGGTTCTTGTTGTAACTGTGTTGAGATTTGTTCATATCAGATTTTGAAAGAGTTACCTGATATCTCTAGAGTTTGTGAACGTTTTACCACTGATGGCTTCATTAATCCTGATTAGGAGTGATAAATTCACCAGTGAATGTTGAGATGTGCTTGTATCTTATTCTAACATCTTGGATATCTCGTCATTAATATTAAATCATGTGTATGTATCTTAAAGATCTCATTCCAGGCATTTTTACTTGTTGCCAGTCACTATTTCATTAAAAAATAAAACAGATTATAAACCATGTTGGCTTTCTAAATTATGAAAATTCTCATGGAACACAAATAGGCTTTTATGGAACTCTAGATTTCCTCAGACCCGATTTTAAAAATTCCTCTTTTAAGACATGAGAGGCATACCTGGGAGGTTTCAGGGATCAATGGCCCAATGGCACAGTCTGAGACCAGGCCTTGCGGTGGATCAAAGCCCAATCAACCAGGCTGTTACTGTTGGCCGCGTGCAAATCGACGTACGAACCGAGAACGAGGGATTTGAAGAGAATCATCATGGGCTTGGCATCCCTAGTTTTGAAGGTTCTCATTATCCATCCTATTGTTTTCCTAGCAGATGTGGTAGATACATTGTTGTGATCTTTGTAAGTGAGATCCTTTGACATTATCACTGCCAGGACCTTCACATTAGTTTTTAGCTTTATTGTGTGATTGGAAGTTTGGAAGTTGTTTTATACTCTGGTGCACTTTTAATTTCCTAGAGTTTTCCATATTGGAGTAATTGAAATTTCTCTTTATTGAACTTCATATTGTGGTTTAATTTAATGACTAAATGTACTACAGTGGTACCTTGACATACGAGTTTAATTCGTTCTTTGACCCAGCTCGTAACTCATTTGCTCGTATATCAAATCAATTTTCCTCAGTGAAATTAATTGAAATGCCAGTAATCTGTTCCAGCCCCCCAAAAAACCACCCTAATTTTTTTGTTACAGGTTTTTAAATACACCTTTCAAGGCAGGTGAAATTGCTGACCTAGAAAATGTACAGAGAACCTTCACGGCGTGCATAACGGAGATAAAACACCTCAGTTACTGGGAGCGCTTGAAGTTTCTGAACCTGTACTCCCTGGAATGCAGGTGGGAGAGATACATGATTATATACACCTGGAAAATCCTAGAGGGACTAGTACCGAACTTGCACATGAAAATCACTCGCAACGAAAGCAAAAGACTCTGCAGACAATGCAACATCCCCCCAATGAAAAGCAGGGGTGTCACTAGCACGTTAAAAGACAATACAATAAGTGTCAGGGGCCTGAGACTGTTCAACTGCCTCCCAGCATACATAAAGGGGATTACCAATAGACCCCTGGCTGTCTTCAAGCAGGCACTGGACAACACCTAAAGTCGGTACCTGACCAGCCGGCTGTGGCTCGTACTTTGGGATTGCATGCAGCCAGCAGTAACAGCCTGGGATCAGGCTGATCCACCAGGAGGCCTGGTCACAGACTGGGCTGGGGGGGCGTTGACCCCTGGAACTCTCCAGTAAACTCCAGGTAAGAAAAATGTATTTATAAATAAGAAATGATTTTGCCTTTTTTGCCGGGTTTTCCAGCAAAGTTTTTAGAATGCTGGAGTATATAAAAACTCCTTGACGCATGTTAAGAAAGCGTCACCACTGGCAGTGGAGTGACACTCGTGGAGTGACTTTTGATGACATGCTTTGCCTTGGCTTTATTTTTCACTGTTACACAAAAACATAAGAACAAAAGAACGAAGGAACACTGCAGAAGGCCTACTGGCCATGCGAGGCAGTCCAAGTCTCCTACCGGCTTAAGCCAATGCACCCAACCTAGTCAGGTCATTTCACATTGATTTAAAGGGGAGGAACACGGCAACTGACTGATAGCACAAGCTATCAGGCCCAACTCACACCCACCCACATCCACTCATGTATTTATCCAACCTATTTTTAAAGCTACACAACGTTCTGGCCTCTATAACTGTACTCGGGAGTTTGTTCCACTCATCCACAAATCTATTACCAAACCAGTACTTTCCTATATCCTTCCTGAATCTGAATTTTTCCAACTTAAAACCATTGCTGCGAGTCCTGTCTAGGCTAGATATTTTCAGCACACTATTTACATCCCCTTTATTTATTCCTGTCTTCCATTTATACACCTCAATCATATCATATCCATGGGGAAGTGGAATAAGAATCTTTCCTCCGTAAGCCATGCGTGTTGTAAAAGTCAACTAAAATGCCGGGAACAATGGGCTAGTAACCCCTTTTCCTGTAAAGATTACTAAAAAGAATAAGAAGAAGAAAATTGTCAAAGTGGGAAGTCTGAATGTGCGTGGATGTTGTGCAGATGATAAGAAAGAGATGATTGTGGATGTTATGAATGAGAAGAAGCTGGATGTCCTGGCTTTAAGTGAAACAAAGCTGAAGGGGGTGGGAGAGTTTCAGTGGAGAGGAATAAATGGGATTAGTCAGGGGGTTTCAAATAGAGTTAGAGCTAAAAAAAGGGTAGCAATAATGTTGAAGGAAAAAGCTAGGCAGGAAAAGAGGGACTATAAATGTATTAATTCAAGGATTATGTGGAGTAAAATAAAGATTGGATGTGAAAAGTGGGTTATAATAAGCGTGTATGCACCTGGAAAGAGAGAATGTTAGAGAGAGAGAGAGATTTGGGAAATGTTTAGTGAATGCATGGGGAGTTTTGAATCAGTGTGAGAGTAATGGTGGTTGGGATTTCAAAAAGGGAAAGTGGGTAAAAAAGTTATGGAGGGAGTAGTAGGTAAATTTGGGGTGCCAGGGGTAAATGTAAATGGTGAGCCTTTAATTGAGCTATGTGTAGAAAAAAATTTGGTAATAAGTAATACATATTTTATGAAAAAGGGGGATAAATAAATATACAAGGTATGATGTACACCCTAATGAAAGTTTGTTTATTAATTATGTATTGGGGATTAAAAAGGGTTGATGGGTAGGCTCCAGGATGTACATGTTTATAGAGGGGCAACTGATATATCGGATCATTATTTAGTTGTAGCTACAGTTAGAGTAAGAGGTAGATGGGAAAAGAGGAAGGTGGCAACAACAAGTAAGAGGGAGGTGAAAGTGTATAAACTAAGGGAGGAGGAAGTTCGGGTGAGATATAAGCGACTATTGGCAGAAAGGTGGGCTAGTGCAAAGATGAGTAGTGGGGGGGTTGAAAAGGGTTGGAATAGTTTTAAAAAATGCAGTATTAGAATGTGGGGCAGAAGTTTGTGGTTATAGGAGGGTGGGGGCAGGAGGAAAGAGGAGTGATTGGTGGAATGATGAAGTAAAGGGTGTGATAAAAGAGAAAAAGGTAGCTTATGAGAGGTTTTACAAAGCAGAAGTGTTATAAGAAGAGCAGAGTATATGAGAGTAAAAGAAAGGTAAAGAGAGTGGTGAGAGAGTGCAAAAGGAGAGCAGATGATAGAGTGGGAGAGGCACTGTCAAGAAATTTTAATGAAAATAAGAAAAAATTTTGGAGTGAGTTAAACAAGTTAAGAAAGCCTAGGGAAAATATGGATTTGTCAGTTAAAAACAGAGTAGGGGAGTTAGTAGATGGGGAGATGGAGGTATTGGGTAGATGGCGAGAATATTTTGAGGAACTTTTAAATGTTAAGGAAGAAACAGAGGCAGTAATTTCATGCACTGGTCAGGGAGGTATACCATCTTTTAGGAGTGAAGAAGAGCAGAATGTAAGTGTGGGGGAGGCACGTGAGGCATTACGTAAAATGAAAGGGGGTAAAGCAGCTGGAACTGATGGGATCATGACAGAAATGTTAAAGCAGGGGGGGATATAGTGTTGGAGTGGTTGGTACTTTTGTTTAATAAATGTATGAAAGAGAGGAAGGTACCTAGGATTGGCGGAGAGCATGTATAGTCCCTTTATATAAAGGAAAGGGGACAAAAGAGACTGTAAAAATTATAGAGGAATAAGCTTACTGAGTATACCAGGAAAAGTGTACGGTAGGGTTATAATTGAAAGAATTAGAGGTAAGACAGAATGTAGGATTGCGGATGAGCAAGGAGGTTTCAGAGTGGGTAGGGGATGTGTAGATCAGGTGTTTACATTGAAGCATATATGTGAACAGTATTTAGATAAAGATAGGGAAGTTTTTATTGCATTTATGGATTTAGAAAAGGCATATGATAGA